CACGTAGGGACAGGACTTAGAGCATACCAGCGTTTTCTATAAGCCCATACTGTTTATTATCTTTTTCTCTCCTCTCTCACACATTTACTACTTTTTTTAGCCGGCAGCACACTACACCTCTCTTATTTTCTTTATAATTTAATTAATAAATGGTTTGATCAGCATAACTATAACACAAGTAATGTAGTAACAGTCTAAATAAAGAATACAATAACCAAATTATGTCTTCAGTGGAGACTATGACCCCACACAGCACACAATATTTATGATAAAGATTCATAAATATTTATGTCAAATTATTTTTTATAAATATGATATAAATATTTTATAAATATTTTATGTGCATAAAGGAAAAATTACAAAAATCTTTATTAAAAAAATTATTAAAATATAGAGTAAATATTTTATACAATATTTATTGTAAACTAAAAACAAATATTTGTAGTAATATTTTGTAAATATTTTTATAAATATTATACACAAAACAAATTAAAAATGAAATTACTTATAATTATTAAATAATTATTTTGTATTTATTTAAAAATTATTTAATAATTAAATAATTATTAAATAATTTTTTTAATAAAGATTTTTGTACTTTTTCCTTTATGCACATAAAATATTTATAAAATATTCATATCATATTTATAAAAAATAATTTAACATAAATATTTATGAATCTTTATCATAAATATTGGCTGGTATTCATAGTTGGATCTTATATTTAAGACCGTTTTAAGTTTATCTTCAGATACTGTACGGCTTATTTCATTGGCTACGAACCATCTGAAAATGAACTTAAGACGATCTTAAATATAAGATCCGACTATGAATACCGGCCATTGTGTGCTATCTGGGCTGTTGTCCGAACAAAATTCGGCGCATCAACGAACACGTCTTCCATCTCCACCGATATTTCTCATGTGCCGCCGTCCTAACGTAACAACGTCGTCACTGTGCTTTGTGCTGTAATGCTTTGGCCGCGTGATTTTTGTATTGAACAGTATTACACCGGGCATAATTACAGGACATTCATTGGAACATACTGCTCGCTGTAAGTACTTGATAAGTACGTGCATTTAATCTTGATGGATATATTATCTCTGGTGACTGTCTATCTCCACGTGTGTTCCTCGCGATTATGTTTTACGCCTGTTGTATGTGTGTGA